CTTATTATTTGATAATTAAATTAAGGAATTTAATTAGTCAAATAAATTTAGTTATTAGTCTAATGAAATATTATTATATTTATTGCTAGCACAAAGGATATAGTTAATATTGTGAACAAATTGATGTTTTCTATTTGGAATAGAAAATTAAATTATATCTCTTGGTTGTAATATATATGGGATATATATAATATTAATTGATATTAATTATATAAAAGTTGTATATAATATCAATTTAATTTTGTAATTGGATTAACGTAAAAGTCCAAAAGGACTTGTCGGCTTATTTCAATCACGTACATCTTATTAAGAATGGGATTTGTACTATTCAATTTGGATTGAATTAAAAGGTCCATAAAGGGCGTGGTTTCTATTCCTGTATGGAATGTGATTTAGTTTTCTAATAGAAAAAGTTTTACAAAGTTCAATTTTGGAATGAACTTGTAAAAGAAGTAAATCACGTTTATATTTTTCCTTAACCTAATGAAAGATATTGTTGGCTTAAGTGATATATAAATACATCACTAAGGGTTAAGAGGCCACAGTGAAAAAATAGTACTTTTAAGAAGCCACAAAATTAAGAGAAAAACATACAAGAACAGTTCTTGTCGTGCGACTTCGATTATTAATTCTTGAGAAGAAAAATACTTTGTGAAAGTGAGAGTGCAATACAAAGCCAAGAGAGAAAATACAATTACAAGAAAAGTGTTTCTTGTTCTTCTAATTTGAGTTGAGATTTTTGAGAAAAATTTCATCACAAGTTTTCCGTTCAATTTGTTCGCGGGTTTCGTTGATCAAAGAGTTGATAGCAAGGATCGGTCTCGGTCTGGATACGCATAGAGTCTTCGCACTATCGAAGAAATTTGAAACGAGACTCTTTTCACCAGGTACGTCTTAGATCCGATCTTTGACATGTAAATAAATTTTAAACACGAAAAGATCTGCCTAGGATTGTTATTGTCTTCCGCTGCGTGTTACGAACACCTATACGCAATCCTACACATACTGCTGCTAGGTGCTGTATAAATTAGAATGAGTTTTATCTTAACTGCACTGGTTGATTTTTGTACTTCTCTGAAAGAAAAAACTGGGATAGTTGTAGTAGTAAATTTTTGTATACTAATTTCAGGGCATATGACCGTGCTGCAATTAAATTCCGAGGACTTGATGCAGATATCAACTTTAACATCAGTGATTATGAAGATGATCTGAAGCAGGTTGGTTGAAGTAGCTAATCACCGTCATTACTTCTGGTTGATGTCCGTTTTCAATTAGGACTATGGTTGCTGTTTAACGTAATTTCTGTGACGGGCATGTAGATGAATAACTTTAGCAATGAAAAATTTGTGCACATACTTCGTCGTCAGAGCAATGGCTTCTCTAGAGGAAGTTCAAAATACAGGGGAGTCACTCTGCATAAATGTGGGCGATGGGAAGCACGGATGGGGCAGCTTCTTGGAAAGAAGTGAGTGACCACTTGTTCCGATGTGGCTTAGAAATGCCATGCTACTATTAATATGGCTGTTTCAAGTTTCTCCAATTACATGATAGCACTGATCTTTATAAGCTAGAGGAATATTGTTAACCAGTTCCTGTACATTATGTGCTTGCAGGTATATCTATCTTGGACTATTTGACAGTGAGATAGAAGCTGCAAGGTCCAATGACATAACCTGATTCTTCATTCCCTTTCATGCTATGTGGTTTAACCTCTTGACATTGACTGAACTTAGTCTTTGGCGCTTGATCAGGGCATATGATAAGGCTGATATAAAAAGCAGCGGGAAGGAGGCAGTCATCAATTTTGGGCTAAGCACATACGAAGATGTATTAAGTTCTGAGGCTGATATCGGAGGTACTATCAAGACTTGCACACTTTTCCAGACACCACCTTTATGCTTGTCGCTTTTATTCTGTAGCTTTGCTTAGTTGGTTGAAAACTACTAATCTTTACATTGATGCAGGAACAACTCGTAATCTTGATCTGAATTTGGGCATATCTCCCTCTTCCTATGCTGACAATCAACATGGAAACACTAGCCAAATTGGAAACTTCCAGGGCCAGCATGGCTCAAATGGTTTACCAGAACATCGTAGACAAGACCAAAATACAAATGGTGGGAGTCCTACAGTGCCATTCTTCTCTACCGCAGCATCATCACGATTCGATAATTCAGCAATCACTGCACCACCCTCAGCTGCCATTCATCAACTGCACTTTGGAAGTGGAGCTTTACCTTACCGCCACTCACAATCCCTGACCAACATGAATCTTTCACATAATTATTGCACGAGCTGAAATTAGCTTGCCGGTAAATGCAAAACAAGTAAACAACCACCCAATATCTTTTCTTCCTTTGCTCAAGATGATACTAGTAAGGCAACACGCTTGACTACAACTAATTGAGTTTAGTTTTGTTAGTTAGGAGATAAGGTACTGAGTTTCTAAACAAGGCTATGAATCTTATAACATGAACTATATGACTGCAAACCACTTACTGGGCATTTTCTTCTATACTGCATATTACCGGTGCCTTGACAGTTGGGACTGTTATGATGAGAATGTTTCTATATGGTTTTCATTTTCAAATGATTTCTTTCTTTTAATGGCTTCACATTCTGTTTCTAAACCTTCTAAAGGACGCTTCCTTTTCATAGTTGGTTCTTGAAATTAGCAAGAACGGACTGACAAATTTTGGTCTCTTTTCATTGCTGAAGCGTACTAGGTTGTCGTTGTAGCTCTTTGTTGATGGAAAATCATACAATAACTATGCACTTTATCCATCTTGTCAAAACTTGTGTTCTTTGGCTGGATTTAACCTTGAAACTTTGTGATGTTGATAATTATTCATTTACTTGATTGCTGCAGCTAACAAAATCAGCCTAAATGTTAAAAACAAGTTAATGAGTGAATCACATGAGGATTAAAGGTTTTTCTTTAATTTGATGGATTTGAATGCAGGGAAAAAGAACTGATGAGAGTGTTTTACGCTATGAAACAGCTATAACTCTTATACATTAAACTACAGGAAAGATCACAGTGCAAAAGTCGAGACCTAACAAAAGAAGTAAACTTGAAGTGTTGTTGGTGAAAGATTGTCCTGTTGCTTTAAAGGGTAGTGGAAGTACTATCATCTGCAATCCTCAGCTTTTTGATTTTAGAATAAAAAGTAACATGATTTTTTCCCTTATCTGTAAGTGTTAGCAAGTAGGGGCATGGTGTGAGCAGAAAATTGCAACCTCGTTACCCTTTCTCCTCAATTATTAGAAAGTGACTCTATGTCAATTTTTTTTTTTGGACTGTATGTCAATTACCTCAAACGCCTTTCAAGATTTTTACATCAAATAATTCAAGAGTTATTTTTTGGCTTATAAAAACTGCCTTGCATAAAGTCTTCACGACATCATTATAGTAGGCGATATATCGGTTAGAACATCTTTTGCCGAAAAATTATATTGCATAGGTAAATAATATCTGTATTAAATTTTTTGATTTCACCACTGGTCACATCAATTATTATGATCCTTGATTGCCAGTTTGTTCTTTCCTTTCCTTCTGCATCAAAGTCTAGAGAAGAAGTCCTCACCCTTTTGATACTTTGATTAGAGGCAGTGTTAAAGGCTGTTTATGGTAAAAATCTTGATGGTCTTATCAATAATTTAGTGTATTAATTACCTATCAACCAAACATTCAACTACAAATGTAATATGTATATATGCACGTATGACCAAACGACTAGATGTGTTAAATAAATAATTATGTATAATATGTTTTTGCTTAAAGAAAATTACTCCAAATAGGATTAATAAATATGAAGCAATTTAAGATATAAGTCTTTGTCAGACTGCCATGACACTGTTTCCTTAGAGTCCGGAACCAAAATGTGGTTCTTTTGGACTCAAAGTACACAAATAGGTGGTAAAAAAAATTATATTTTTATATATAGCGCCATAATACAGTAACAGTGACGACACCGTTAATGTATAGCGCCAGGTATTGTGGCACTATACTGTAAAATCTGACACGCCCAGGTATAGCGCCACAATACCTGGCGCTATACATACATCANTTTTTTGACTCTTGTTGAAACGTTTATTGTTCTTAAATTCTCCAGCATTTTTTCATCATGTCTGAAGAGCGTAGAATAAGAGTTTTATTATATTGGGGGGAGGGTGAGGTTATGATGGAGAATAACTCCGTGAGCTACAGTTTACCTGCTCAGTGTCCTTCCTCCTCATCCTGCTCATCACCATCCTCACGAAAAAAGGGTGTCTCGTCTCCGGATTTATCGGCATTATTATCGTAATCACTGTTCTGTTCCTCACTCTATGCATCTGCCAGATCCCGATGTAATACGTCGTTTTCGGTCAATTGAGTGAGTACGGGTGGTTCAACTTGCTCGTTTTTACGGCACAACCAACAAAAATATAAGCTACTGAATTAATAAATGATTTCCATATGGCTATATCTCTTCACTTACAAGTCGTAATGTGATGAAATTTCATGATGGACGTTTTCAATTAAGTGATGACTACCGGATGGGCCACTTGTAAAATTCATATCCGGCCGGTATCCCCTATTAAATATATGAGCGTTAATACAAATTCAATACGCCAAAAATATACATAATTAACACAAATGAAAATTGAAGTTTACCACTCGTCTTGTGAATTATGGAAAGCAGGGTATAAATTATTTTCTCGCTGCTCATTCGTCGGCGGTGATAAGTTTAAATCAAGGAAAACTCTTTCATCCGGAACCTGTCCGACAAAAATTGCTCCAGAATAACCACCCGATGACTGGGGGTTATCTCTGCTACGCACAACCTCGTTTTTTGGAACGTCTTCGACCTTCACGTACATCTCCAACATTGTGATTACAAGAAATTCCCGGCATTCGTCCGGAGTCCTCAGAAAATCACTCAAAGTTTCATCATCGTCGATGTTAAACTCCGAGTAAAAAGCAACCCCTTGCGGAGTGACGGAATACGGATATCTTCCGGTTACTTTAAGTATCACTGAACGTTTCCTCACACTCAGTTTTTTGCATAACAACGATATCAATTTATCGTACTCTATTGTAAGTGGCAATTTAACATGACACTGAGCAGGTAAACTGTAGCCCACAGAGTTATTCTCCATCACAACCTCACCCCCCCAATATAATGAAACTCTTATTCTACGCTCTTCAGACATAATGAAAAAATGCTGGAGAATTTAAGAACAATAAACGTTTCAACAAGAGGTAAAAAAAATTTTGAATGAATTTTTATACAATCCTAACCTCTTTATATAGGAAATGGTTAGCCGGAAAATTTATATATATATATATATATATAACGCCCAAAAAGTTGGCACTATACGCTTTTGAATTATTGAAGTCAGGAATTATTGGTGGAGCCAGGAAAAAGAAGTATAGCGCCACAATACCTGGGCATGTCAGAATTTACAGTATAGCGCCACAATACCCGGCGCTATACATTAACGGTGTCGTTACTGTTACTGTATAGCGTCATGTATTATGGCGCTATATATAAAAATGTAATTTTTTTTTACCACCTATTTATGTACTTTGAGGCCAAAAGAACCACATTTTGGTTCCAGACTCGTTTCCTTAAACACTACTACTAGGCTAGGGAGGCAAAAGTACAAATTGTCAGCTCATGTATGAAGCAAAACTTCGAAATACCTTAAGAATGCTGTTTGCAAATCCACAGAGATAAATTTGTAGACTACAGTAAGGGCCGAGGCGGATCCAAGATTTTGATTATGTGGATTCAACTTTTAAGGTTTTACCATTGAGCCTATTGTATTTTAAAGTTATGGGTTCAGACCTATCATTTGCTACAATTTTAATGAATTTTTACACACAAATTTATATTCATCGGCGAAAATACTGAATTCAGATAAATCGGGAACCATACTCTATATCGGCCCCTGATTAGGTACAGGAACAGGGAAAGCTTTGTAAAGTGCATATATAACAGTTAAAAACAAACCATGCTACAACCCTGCCTTTGCTACTATTTGTATATTTAATTATTGTATTCCTGTGCTTATCTAGTAACGAGTTTATATGGCATCTTATCTCGATTAATTCTGATTCGTACCAAATGGTGTCACTAAAAATCTTTTTAAAAGCATCCTTTATTTGTAAAACTCAAATTCGAGAACTCTAAATAAGAGCAAGGAGTTCGTGTAATCCCATTGCATCTCAATTTTTGCATATATGATGCTATTCATTGTTTCTTTTTCTTTTATATTTGTTTTTATGACGGAAAGCTGCTCTTCTAGAGAATAGTGGCCTAGGCAAAAATCATCTTCACCTTGTCAATTATCAGAATGACACTGTACTAGTATTTGTTCCGATGTTCTCTATATCCTTGGACTTGGATTGACAATGCATGAGAGGCAAAATTAAGTTGAAATGGCTGATTGAGTTTGCACGCTTTGTAAGGTATGAAATAAAGCGCGTGGGCATGTTAAGCAAACAGAAAAGGAATGCTCTTCCAACTGTTACTAGACCGGCCAGTATTTTGTAGTACCCCTAAAAGGAAAGCCCACCATAAGAAAGAATACCTCTACATATATCTACGGTGTTCATGGTTTGGTTTGGATCATTTTTTTCCTAAAAAAAAATCAAATCGAGTAAGTTGGTTTTTCAAATATTGTAACCAAACCAAACCAAATAAATTGATTTTTAACCGATTCAGTTTATGTCGATTTTTAGTTTTTTCGGTTATTTATCGGTTTTTTCTTAAATAGGAGACATATACTACCAAACACAAATTTCAGCGACTATACTTTTAATGTAATACTACCAAACCAATTTCTCTTTGAGAAATCTATCATTTACTAAGATATATTGATGATAACTGAGTCAAATAGTGATGAATAATTTAAGGACTCAATTAATGTAACGACCTGACTGGTCGTTTTGCTTTTTAGAACCCCGTTTCCTTAAATAAAACTTTTCACACTTGCTTGAACTAATTTACGACCTACGGGGATGGTTGGTTCGGGATTTGGAAGAGTTTGGATTGAAATAGGCTCATTTGATTCCTTAAAATTTTCCTAAAAGGCTAAGTTTGACTTTGGTCAATATTTTTATCAAACGGATCCGGATTTGTGTTTTGACGGTCCCAGATGGTCCGTAGGAAAATATGGGACCTGGGCGTATGCCCGGAATCGAATTCTGAGGTCCCTAGCCCGAGTAATAAATTTTTATTAGAAATTGTTAAACTGAAATTCTAAGGATTCAAAGAAATTAAATAATGATTGATCACGTTGGTATCGGGCTCGTATGTTGATTCCGGAGCCATACAGGTCCAATATAACATTTAAGACTTGCCCACAAAATTTGGTGTCAATCCGAGTAGTATAAGTATGTTTCGGCACGTTAGAAGTGAATTTAAGAACTTGAAGTTCATAAGTTTGAATCAATTGGTTTTAGGGGGTGATTCTTAGATTTAGCATTATTTCAGGCGTTTCGGGGGTTCGAGCGAGTCCGTTTCATGATTTCAGACTAGTCTTAAATTGGTTTTTAACCGATTCAGTTTATGTCGATTTTTTATTTTTTTCGGTTATTTATCAGTTTTTTCTTAAATATGAGACATATACTACCAAACACATATTTCGGCGACTATACTTTTAATGTAATACTACCAAACCAATTGCTTTTTGAGAAATCTATCATTTACTAAGATATATTAATGATAATGAGTCAAATAGTGATGAATAATTTAATGACTCAATTAATGTAATGACCTGACTGGTCGTTTTGCTTTTTAGAACTCTGTTTCCTTAAATAAAACTTTCCACACTTGCTTAAACTAATTTACGACCTGCGGGGATGGTTGGTTCGGGATTTGGAAGAGTTTGGATTGAAATAGGCTCATTTGATTCCTTAAGATTTTCCTAAAAGGCTAAGTTTGACTTTGGCCAACATTTTTATCAAACGGATACGGATTTATGTTTTGACGGTCCCAGATGGTCAGTAGAAAAATATGGGACCTGGGCGTATGCCCGGAATCGAATTCCGAGGTCCCTAGCCCGAGTAATGAATTTTTATTAGAAATTGTTAAACTGAAATTCTAAGAATTTAAAGAAACTAAATAATGATTGATCATATTGGTATCAGGCTCGTATGTTGGTTCCGAAGCCAAACAGGCCCAATATAACATTTAAGACTTGCCCGCA